TATAAAGTGTTTAGAACATACAGTTTCATAATCCTGTAACATAAGCAAGAAAAGTAGTTGTGATTCCGTGTTTCAGATGAAGAAAAAGGTTCAGAGGCTGGCGTGCCCCTCCTAGGTGAGTCTCAACTGCGCTGAGATGCTGAACTCAACTCCTTGTCTTGTCAACCCCAAAGCCTTGGTTCTTCCCACTACGCTGTGACTAGGCATCACTGAGGTCTCCTCCCTGTTCTTTCCCCAGCTTATGTTTCTCTCATCGCCCAGGGTTCTTGGGAAACTCATATGGTTATGTTGTTGTTGTGTGTGCCGGTGAGTCGATTCTGACTCATAGCAACCCTGTATGACAGAATAGAACTGCCCCATACGGTTTCCTAGGCTAAAATCTTTACTGGATCAGATCACCAGGTCTTTTCTCCCATGGAGCAGCTGGTGGGTTTGAACTGCCAACCTTTCAGTTAGCAGCCAAATGCTTAACCATTGTGCCACCAGGGCTCCTTCATGGATACAGGAGATCCCTAAAGTTGCTTGACAGATGTCCAGCTTAAAAAAAATAAAAGGCAGCACCATTCGACATGTTTCGAGTTACAAGCATGGTATAGTCTTCTTCATCCATCTTAAACAAAGTAAGGTGATACAACAAAGCTTTAGCCCCCTGTGAACAAAGAGGGTAAGGGAAACACTATGGATGTGGAGTCTGAAATTAAAGGGCCCACTCACGTTGTCTGTAATGCACACAAGCATTGTTTAATGAGCTCCTTTGCTTTAGGATGTTTGGGAAGGGCCATGTTTGCTCATTCTTTCAGGAAGGGAATAACAGGTTTTTCCACCCAAGACAAGTCCACCAAAGTCAGTTCTGTCAAGATTCATAAGTAAGGACAGAAGCTGATGGAAAGAAGAAAACTTCCATGGCTTTAACATTTTAGACCAGAGCGGATTTGCTCAACTTGACTTTAGTAGAAGTAAATGAGGGGAGTAACGGATAATGCTTCCTCAAACTGGCTTCAGGTAATGTAGTACTGAGGAGACGTGAATTTTCAGTGGTCGTAGGGATTTTGAAGCTCTCCGGGGAGCCTGAGAAAGTCTTGAACACATTCTGACAATGCTGATGTAGTCTTTCAGGAGTTAACATGCATGTCAAATGGTAAAGTCACCCTAACTATCATGCTTATACAAACTGGAATTTATATTGGAAATAGAAAGACTCACAAGCCCAAAGTAAAAGGGATCATAGCCTTCCATGAAATAAAAATGCTACTGAAATTAATATGTACCAGTCTCATTTCCTTTCCAAAGCAAACTGGTTTATTTCATTTGTTCATTCATTCAACAAATATTTATGAAGACCTGAGAACATGGGAACTAAGACTCAGTGGTAACAAGACACACCCTGCTCCCTAGGACCTTACACTCAAGTGCAAAAATCTACATTTAAAAAAAATGGGAGATTTATGCTTTCAGTCAAGACGGAATCATAGGAACCAGGTTTATCCTCCCACCTGATACACCAAAAAACAAAACAAAACAGAAACAACACGCGAAACAATGGCTTTCAAAACACTGAACATCAGGCTTCAGAAGACAGGGATCCTGAGGGATGGGAAACAAACAAGGTGAGCCTACGACTGTCCCACTTACTGCCTTGAAACACTTTGCAGGCTCCACAAAGACGGACAACTCAGGGAGAACCCAGGGGCCCCCCAGAGTTCAGGAGACAGAACTGAGGGTTTGGGAAAACCAAGGCAGCTAGAGTTCACAGGACAGAGTACCAGAGAGGTGAAAGCTGCACAGAAAACCCCAGAGACCAGCAGAGGGTCCCCCTTGAGTATTCAAGAGAGTACTTATTGCTCAGGGCATATAAGAGAGGAACTATCTGAGGCCGGGGAAAGAACTGCCTGAAAGGGCGAGCAGGGACAGCACTCGGCACTCACACAGGGCCGGGGACAGCACCTATTACTGTCAGCCAGGCTATAGAAACTCTTAATTCACAGGGTACTGGGTAGAGTACTCAGAAGACCTTGCCTCAGTATTGGGCATAATTGCTATAGATGGAGCACTCCTGCAGACCTGACTGACAAATTATAAAAGCAAGACCCAAAAGGATCAAACTATTTCTGAGTAACTTAACTGAATCTCCAAAGAAAGGAATAGTTATAGGAATATATATCCAGCACCCAACAAAGTAAAATTCACAATGTTTGGCATCCATCCAATCAAAGATTACAAAGCATATAAAGAAGCAGAAAAACATGTCTCATGATGAAGAGAAAAATGAGTTTGATACCGACCCAGAACTGATCTAAATGTCAGAATTAGTGAATGTTAAAAGAGTTAGAATAACTATATTCTATATGTTCAAAAACTTAAGTTGATGCATAGAAGATGTATTTTTTAAAAGAAGAAAAAGAAAAACAAATCCAATGTCTAGAAATGAAAACTCCAATGTCTGAGATGAAAAATACACTGGATGGAATTAATGAAGATTGGATACTATAGAAGAAAAGATCAGTGAACTTGAAGAGATGACAATAGAAACTATACAAAAAACGGACAGAAAAGTATTTAAAAAATAAAGAGAGTATCAGTGATCTGTGGGACAACTTCAAGTGGAGGATATACATAATTAAGAGTCTCCAAAATGAGAGGGGGGAACAAAAATATCGATGGCTTAATACTCTCCATATTTTATAGAACTATAAACCTAAAGATTCAAGAATCCCAACAAACCCCAAGCACAAGAAATATGAAGAAAATTACACCTAGGCACATCATAAAAAATTGTTTAACACCAGTAATTAATACTTTAAGAGCAGCCAGAGAAAAAACACACATTACGTACAGAAGACCAAAGATAAGGATGACAACTGTTTACAAAATGTTATTTATAATAGCATCAAACAATATGAAATATTTATGGATAAATATGATTAAAAAAAGATGTAAAAGACATATATGTTGAAAACTACAAAACACTGCTGAGAAATTAAAGATCTAAATAAATGGAGAACTAGACCATATACATGGGTTGGTAAACTCAATATTGTTAAGGTGTCAATTTTACCCAAACTGATCTATAGATTCAAAAGGGAAAAAGGATACACACATAGACCAAAGCAACAGAATAAAGAGTCCAAAAATAAATCGACAATTGGTCGATTGGGTTTTGACAAAGGTTCAAAGGGAAGTCAATACAGAAAGGATAGTTTTTTTTCAACAAATGACATCAGAAGAGCTGAAAGAAAATGAATCTCAACCTATACCTCATACTTTATTAAAAAATTAACTCAAAATTGATCATAAACCTAATTGTAAAGCCTAAAACTGTAAAACTTCTAGAAGGGAAACTGGGGAAAACCTTTGCAACCTTAGGTTAGGTAAAGCTTTCTAAGATACAACACCAAAAGCACAATCCATAAAAGAAAAATCTGATCAACTAGACTTCATCAAATGAAAGATACTTTGAAAGATACTGTTAAGGGAATGAAAAGACAAGCCACAAAGTAGGAGAGAATATTTGCAAAGCATGTTATCTCATAAGGGACTTATACCCAGAATTGATAAAGAATTCTCAAAACTCAAAAAAAAGAGAAGAAACAATCCACCTTAAAAAATGGGCAAAAGACAAGAGACAGACAGGGCTGCATAAACCAGAGACTCCATCAGCCTGAGACCAGAAGAACTAGATGGTGCCCGGTTACCACCAATGACCAACCTGACAGGAAATAAAACAGAGAGTCCCTGACAGAGCAGGAAAAAGGTGGGGTGCAGAACTCAAATTCTGGTAAAAAGACCAGACTTAATGGACTGACTGAGACTGGAGGAAGCCCAGAAAGCAAGGCCCCCAGACTTTCTGTCAACCCAGAACTAAAACAACTCCTGAAGCCAGCTCTTCAGACAAAGATTAGACTGGACGATGGGACATAAAATGATACTCGTGAAGAGAGTGCTTCTTAGCTCAAGTAGATACATGAGACAAAATGGGCAGCTCCTGTCTGGAGGTGAGATGAGAAGGCAGAGAGGGTCAGGAGCTGGTTGAATGGACACGGGAAATCTGGGATGGAAAGGAGGACTGTGCTGTCACATTACAGGGAAAGCAGCTAGGGTCACATAGTAATATGTGTATAAATTTTTGTATGAGAAACTGACTTGCACTGTAAACTTTCACTTAAAGCACAATAAAAAAAATGGGCAAAAGATTTGAACAGACATTTCAACAAAGATACGGGGATGACAAATAAGTATATGAAAAGATGCTCAACATCATTAGTCTTAAGGAAATGCAAATTAAAACCACAATGAGACACCACTACGTGCTTCTTAGAATGGTTTAAAAATGAAAAAGACTGGCCATACCAAGTGACAATAAGAAAGTGAAGAAACTGGGACTCTCATGCACGCCTAGTAGCAATGTAAAATGGTACAACCACTCTGGAAAACAGTCTGACAGTTTCTTAAAAAGTTAAACACATACCTACTACACCAAAACCAAACCTGCTGTCAAGTCTATTCTGACTCATAGCGACCCTACAGGACAGTAGATCTGCCCTATATACCTACTATATGACTCAGTTATTTCACTCTTACTTACCTAAGAGAAATGAAAGTATATGTCAACACAAAGACTTGTATACAAACATTTATAACAGCTTTATTTGTAAAAGCCCCAAATTGGTAACAACCCAAATGTCTATCAAATAGTGAATGGATAAATCTATTCAATGAACTACTCAGCAATTAAACAGATAAAACCCCTCTTAATACATGCTACCACATGGATGAATCTCAAAATATACTGAGTGGAATAAGCCTGACATAAAAGAGTATATATTACATAATTCAATTTATATAAAATTCTAGAAAATGCAAACAAAATGTAGTGACAGAAAGCAGATCAGTGTTTGCCTGGGAAATGGGGGTGGGTGGCATGTGGGGAGGGGCAGGAGAGAAAGGTTACAAAGGAGCACAAGGACACTGGGGATGATGGGTAAGTTCATTATCTTGATTGTGGTGATGGTTTCACTTGGTATATACACATGTTAATGCTTTTCAAATTGTATAGTTGAAATATGTGTAATCTATTGTATGTCAAGTACATCCCAGTAAAGCTATTAAAAATATTAATGGACTCCACATTCTAGAGATTCTGGCAGTAGAACTATTATTTTCATCTTCAAATATTAATTACTTTTGTACATACTTTGTTTTACTTTGGTAAAAACACTTTTGAACTTTATTTTTAAAGCTGCAACAAGGAAAGCAAAGGGTATAAACAAACATTAGCTCACTGAAAAACAATGTTATATATACTAAAAAAAAGTACAGGGTGAAAATGAGGAATTCTGATTCACAGATGCAACCAAATCTGACATGATTCTTGACAAGGAATAAGACCACTTGGAATCAATGAATAGGTGTCTGCCGGTCGTCTCTTTCCTGCACACTGCTGTGGTTTCCAGCAACCGAGCCCTCGGCCTCAGAAATCTGGACTATGGTTTTCAGTTGGTCTTCCAGCTCCTCTATTAAAGGCCCAGACCTTCCTGGAGCACAAGAAAGGGCAAGTGGTTTCCCCTGACTGCCCTCAGACCTCAGGAGGGCCATGTTTCTGCATACCTCAACACCATCAGTAAGCAGGGCACTGCTTTCTTCAAGAAGGGGACCCTGCAAAGAACCTGCTGTCTTGGATCCGTTCTCTTGGCGCTCGTCTTGTTCTGAATCTGAGTCTTGGGTTGTGGAGGATGAGGTGCTGTCCGATTCCTCCAAATCACTTGCCTCAGGACTGCAGCAAGGTGTCTGCTGCCTGGAAGCTGAGCAGGCTGCTTTTAATGCAGTTTCTTCCTCCTGGACAAGAAGGGCCGCCGTTTCCAGTTCTTCCAGTTCGAATCCCAGCTGGGCCTTTGTAAGAGAGTCTTTCTTTAAGGCTTCTGCAAGAGCTGCCAATTTTTTGGACCTTGAAAAAAATATATATACAAATTTAATGTTAGGACTATTCATTAAATTGTCTGAGGACAACAGGGTACACTGCTTCAAAAAAACAACAAAATAAAGTTGGAGCCATACTTTACATGCTACACCAGGATAAATTCCAAATGAATCAAAGATATAAATGTAAAAAGGGAGAGTATTATTAAAGTACTATGAGGGAACATTGGAGAATTCCTTTGTGAGCCTAGAATAAGGAAGGCCTTTCCAACAATGACTCAAAATTCAGAAGCCATGAAAGAAAAGACTGACAAATCCAACTAAATAAAAATCAACAGGTTCTGTAGGGCAAAAAGTCATCATAAGTAAGGTCAGAAGACAAATGTAAAATTGTTAAAAAGATTTGCAACTCGTATCACAGACCAAGGCCTCATTTCCCTAACAGAGTTCCTAAAAACAAAAGAGAAAACAAACATTTGATAACTCCGTGAGCAAAGCTGTGGGGAAAAAAGGTGCTTTCATACATTGTGGGAGGTTACGCAGGTACAACCCCTATGGAGGAGATTTTGGCAATAACTTTCACAACTGAAATATACATACCCTTGACCCAGCAATCCCACTTCTAGAAGTTTAGCACATGTAGCACATATACTTTCGAGTTTCTGGGTGGTACAAATAGTTAATGTATTTGACTGCTAAGTGAAAAGTTGGTGGTTCAGGTACACCCAGGGGCACCTTGGAAAAAAGGCCTGGCAATCTGCTTTAAAAAAAATCAACCATTGAAAATCCTATGGAGCACATTTCTACTCTGACACACATGGGGTCACCATCAGTCAGAATCGACTCAATGGCAACTGGTTAGCACATATGCTTGCTATATGACATACATACAAGGCTATTTATTAAGGCATTGCTTTAAAAAAAAATCGGGAAAACAAATGTCCATCAGTGATGGGACTGGTTAAGTAAGTCAGGGCATATTGATACAAAGGAATACTTCACAGCTATACAAAGAATGAAGCTCTCCACAGGCTAATCCAGATATACTGTTCAACTGTAACAACTAACACACTATATATATATACGCTGCTTCTTAGGGAATTAAAAAAAAAAAGGAAAGGAATAAAAACACATATTCGTATTTGCTTGTGTACTTATCAGTAGACTGGCGAGACGGGGGATGACAGAGGAGGGTGGAGAGAAGGAGACTGCACCACACATTGTTTTATATTTAAATCACGTGACTGTGATACCTGTTAAAAATTTTAAATGTACAAAAAAGAAAAAAGCACTATTAGAGAGCAGCATCGAATGCTTTTCTTTTTTTATCAGAAAGCCATTTCCTATGATTTCAGAGAATATTTTTCTCTGAATTACCTGCTAGATTTATAACATTACATTGCACTGAATAGGTAAAGCTTTTCATTATTGACTTTAATGCATTTAGTTGTTTTGTTTTTGTTTTTTAAAGAGGCAGCCTAAAGCATACTGAGTTCTCCAAACACCAGCTCTTTACTGTTCGAGAGAGGAAAATCTCCTGATGGGACAACGGAAAAAAATGCAGCCGTGAGTGAAAATGTAAGCGTGCTAATACAGCTTCTGTTGTCAAGTCAATTCTGACTCATGGTGACCCCATCTGTGTACAGCAGAACGCTCTGCAGGGTTTTTAAGGCTATGACCTTTCAGAAGCAGACCACCAGGCCTGGGTGGGTTCAAATCACCAACCTTTAGGCTAGTAGTAAAGCACTCAACCATCTGCGCCACCCTGGGAATTCTGACACAGCTTCTGGAAAAAACCAAACCAAAGCTGCTGCCGCTGAGTCGACTCCAACTCATAGCGACCCTACAGGTCAGAGTAGAACTGCCTCGTAGGGTTTCCAAGGAGTGGCTGATAGATTCGAACTGCCAACATTTTGGTTAGCAGCTGAGCTCTTTACCACTGTGCCACCAGGGCTTGCCCATGGCTTCTAGTTTTCCCCAACTCCAAAGATTCAGTGAGTATGCAAAACACTTAGCGGCTTTGAAACAAACTGGATAAGGGTGAGTTCACAAGATAAACTGCCATTTGTAAAAGTGCAGGCATAGTCCATCCCCTAATAATGGGAAAATGCGGCTTCAACTGAGCTGACATGAATGGATGGTGCAATGGGAACTACCGAACAAAGATGGTATTTTTCATCTAAGTGCCTAGATGTATAAGAGATCTTTTTTTCTCAAAATATTTAGAATAATAATAATCTTTATGAAAACAAAAATAATCAAACAAAAATAACAACCAGATGCCCCTGAGTCAACTCCAGGTCATGGCTATTCCGTGTGTGTCGGAGTACAACAGTGCTCTACAGGGTCTTTTCCTGCCGCTTCTTCACGGGTATAATCCCGGACACAGGAGCACCACCACAGTAAATGTTTCAGGGTGCAGCAGAGGCCCAGTGGGGTGAATCGGACAGAGGCAGCTGCCATCACTGATGGGCTACCTTTCTCTTAAGCAAAGAAAACTCTCAATTTCAGTGAAGAAATTTTCAGGGAGCTTAGAAAAGGGGAGTTGGCTAGGGTAAAGAGGAAAACGAAGGTCAGCGGGAGTCAATTCATGGTTCATCAAAGGGCTATAAAACCCAGGTTGAGCTTTTATTACATTTGAGACATTTTTAAAAGCATAGTTAGGGAATAAGATGGCTGCAATATAAGCTGTATCCATGTCCAAGGTAGACCACCATGTATTTTGAAATGCTGACTACCAGGTAAAGGATTTGGAGAGAGTTGGTGGGTCAGTTTAAAACATCTCTGGCCCAAGGCCCAGTCACCCTAGGAATTAGTTCACCACCATACTTCTCACTGAAGGGGGTCCTCTCTGGGTAGTGACACACAGCTTTAAGGGATAAAGACACATAAACTGGGGAAAGAGGACAATGCCTCTTTGTAAATTATATTAGAATAAAAATTTTAAAATAAAAGCTTTTACTTCCATGACCATACATGTTGCATTTTTAATAGCCACCACAAATACTTCCACAATATAGGAAAGATGATGTTCCACAAACATCACTGCTCTTGTTCCTAACAAAACCCTGTGTATTGGTTTTATTATTACCCTAACGCTACAGAGGAAACTCTGGTGGCATAGCGGTTAAGTAATATGACTGCTAACCAAAAGGTCGGCAGTTCGAATCCACCAGGCACTCCTTGGAAAACTCTATGGGGCAGTTCTACTCTGTCCTATAGGGTCACTATGAGTCGGCATCGACTCGACGGCAATAAGTTTGGTTTTTTTTTGGTTTAACGTTACAGATGAGGAAACAGAAACTCAGAGGAGTTACAGATCTGCTGAAACTTACCCGGCTAATAAGTGGCAGTCAAGACTGGAACCCAATCTGCTTCCTATCCCACCACAGACAGACAGCTGCCATCAAGACGACTCCAATGCATGGTGACCTTATATACAACAGAACAAAATGTTGCCTGGTCCTACGTCATCCCATGATTGCCAGCATGTTTGAGTCCATCATGGTTGCTATCGTGCCAATCCATTTCTCCAAGGGTCTCCCTAACCCTCGCTGGTCCTCTACTTCACCAAACACGATGTCCTCCTCCAGCAATTGATCCCTCCTGATGATGTGTCCAAAACAAGCGAGACCAGACAATGTTCTATGGTGATCCATAAGGTTCTCCTTGGCTAATTTTCAGAAGTAGTTCACTAGGTCTTTCTTCCTAATCTGTCTTAGTCCAGAAGCTCTGCTGAAACCTGTCCACCATGGGTGACCCTGCTGGTATTTGAAATACAAGTGGCACAGCTTCCAGCATCACAGCAACATGCAAGCCACCTCAGTATGACAAACCAACAGACAGGTGGATCCCACCATAGGGCCTCCCTTAAACACCCAGGGGCTCTAAAGACCACATTCCTTACTCCTTCTCAGTTTGAGCTCTACTCAGCATCTTCCAGTGAGCAAGTTCTGACCTGTACAAGGCCCAGAATTGCCCAAAGTAGCTGTGACTAACATCTTTAGCTTAGCAACCTTCAATGAAGTATATATGTAAGCTTTAAAATTACAGAGATTTAGAATAGGAGGGAAAAAAATTGACTTATTTTTATATTACTGAATATATTAACTACATCAATTCTCAAGTGGAAACCATTTAGATCTTTGTTGTTGTTTACTATAAAAGTATTACACGCTGTCTTTTATAACAGTATACATTTGGAATATCATAGCCCCTGGCTGGTAATCCTGACTCTTTTAAGAAAACATATATCCACGTATGGTGGGACTTAAAAAAAAGTGTTAGCTGCAACAGGTAGTCCTTTGAGAGTAGAAAGTGGGGAGGATGAACTATGTGACTCAAACAGGAAGTCAGGCCTATTACCAGCTGACATGAATTTTCATCCTTCAGGAAAACGTTTGTTTCTCACTTTTAGCATTCAAAACCCATTGCTATTGAGTCAATTCCGACTCATAGCAATTACACTATGTTTAAAGTGGTCCTTATTAATTGCACCACCTTCGTCAAATGAATCTATCTCTATTTCTTATTACCCCACTTTTAGTTGTCTAGTTTCTGAAACTAGTTGCCTAATTTACAAAATTAATATTAAACTTCTGAGAGAAACTAGAAGCTTACAGAAGATGCATTCTGAACTCTTCCCTCAAAACATGCTAAGAAAAAAGTGCTTAAAAATTTCAAAATATCATTGCTGTAGAATGTGACTCAATCGTCTGAGAAATGAAAGTTGGATTTGTTTTTATTCATTCATTTTACAGAGATAACTTAGCAATCACTGTTTGCAAAAAGGGGAAATTACTCCTTTGGGGAAAAAAATTAAGCCATGAAAAAGCAACATTTTTGTTCTTTCAACCAGTGGTGCAATTAGAGTTGGTTCTGTCTCTCGTTGTAAATTCTAGAATCTATTTCTGTAATGGCCTGTTATGGATTGAACTGTATCCCCCAAAAATGTGTCAGCTTAGCTAGGCCATGATTCCCAGTATTGTATGGTATCCCCCACTTTGTGATCTGATATAATTATCGTAT